TTTGGCACCCCTGCAGATATAAACGTCCCAATCGCAAAATCACAGACGCTAAATCAAGCTGGAAAAACTCTGAAGGGAGTTTCTGCCCAAATTAAACTCAGACGCCACAAACAACACATTCAAAGTCTGCTGAATTTCAAGAGGACAATATATATATATAAACAGAAACCCACTATTGAGCACCACCAAGCTATCGATTTCCGAAGCTACTGCTTCAAAAGTGCTTCAATTCCGCTATGAATTATGCGTCTCTGTGAGAATTGACTAAAACGTTATACAGAGAAATTTGCAAACAAATCGACCTGAACGTCCCTGCAGGCCTTGCTAAAGTGCAGGCAGCTGTTTTCAGTGAATCCGAGTTCGCAGAATGTGCATTCAATCTCTACTTTCCACTTCCCAGAGTCCACCAGGCTCTCAGTGTTTTTGTCGCTGGTTTAAACTTCTTGTTTTGCGCAGGTGTCGTCTGAAATCCTCAGGGCGTTTGCTGCAGTGAGGGAACTCAAGCTAGTGTCTTTAAAGGTCACTGCCCAGCTCCAGACAACCAACACTGTAGGGATGTTGTGTATATATATATATATATACACAAGAGTCAAGCATCAAATAGAAAAATTGTAAAAAAAATAAAAACATAAAATAAAAAAAGGTTTAAGCAAGATGCTAATGGTCTAATCCGATTCAATGATTTATGCTAAACTAAGAGTTAATGGATTCAAAAACGATCAAACTCAACTGTTTTAACTTCTGAGGAGTAGCAAAATAATATTTATATATATATATATATATATATATATATATATATATATATATATATATATATATATATATATATATTTTTTTTTTTTTTTTTTAATCTTTTAAGTACTGTTAATGGTACAATCATATTAAAACAGGGACTACAGATGCAAATTGGCATTATATTTAACTCTGGCATAACATGTCATGGTGTACACTGTCCTGTTAAAATAAAGCCAAAATGATGGAGAAATGTAAAAATGTTTGCTGGTTACATCTATAAAATCAAACCTATCTTATTTATATATCAGAATATCTGAGCATACTTTAAGATCTTAGCATCCCCTTTAATTATGCAAAAATCTGATTTTTAATATGTTGTAAATAAAATAAAAATAAATGAAAATAAAAAAAAGCCTTGCTGCAGAGCTTTTTTGAGTTGACAACCCAAGTACTGCACTTAACTCGATTTATGTTGAGTAAACTCAAAAATGTCCTGAAGCTGGTGGCCTTAAAATTTTAGGTTGAGTCAAACTTATTGCAAAATGTCTAATGTTTAGTTTGATGCTTCAAAAATACCAAAGATATGTGAGTATTCCATTTTTTTTTTAAATCAAGCGACACCGAAAAATGGTGTAATGATTGCGGAAATTTAGCTTCAATCACCGAAATGAATTTGATTCAATAATTAATGAATGAGAATTAATTTAAATACAAAAAAACGTTTTTAATTATAAAAACATTTTATTATATTATTATTTTGTCATTTATTTATTAAATAAATGCAAATTTGATAAGCATAAGAGACTTAAATTGAAAAAGAAATTGACATTTTCTATAGACTACTCTATATCGACTACATTCCAAGAAATAAACCAAAATTTCAATCAAGTTTTCCTAATATATTACACACTTTGACGCTCCCAAAAAAAAAAGCAAAGCAATGTCAGTATTCTGTGTCACAGCCATAAGCCTAAAAGCTTTACCAGACACTCATAGGTCTTTCCCCTCTTACGGTATCATTGATTTGTCAAGCCGAGTCCAGGGATTTGCATTTAGTGCTGCAGTAAAGCTGCATGTCCATTTGTTTGTATGTGGGTGAGTGTCAGAGAGGACGATCGACCTCTCTTCTGGACGCCCAGCGCTGTGCCATGTGCCAGTTCAGCACCTGCCATCGCTTGGGCTCATCTGACACCATCAACACAGCCTCGTGTTCACATCCATTCACGGCCCGACTGATTGAGGGTAGCTTTCAGGATGGCCGAATGTACTGACCTTTGGAAAACGCGGTTAGAATGTACTGCAGGAAGTGTGGAGAGGAAGTTTACATGAACAGCGAATGTTCTGCAGCTGCCGCTCGTAAAAAAAAAAAAATAATAATAATAAAAAAATGGATAAGTCGAGTCACCGCGTGGTTATGAAATAAGTGGGTTACTGCTCATTTGATCTGGACTTCAAGAAAACAGACCTGTAAGAGTGTAACATGTAACAATAAATTCATAATGTTAAAACTGCTGTACTTTCTGTTGAACTGTTTGAACTATTTTTAAAATTGCACAAGAATATAATACACTAGCTGACAAAAGATTTGTTGCCCATCCAAGTTTTAGGAACAACACATAAAAACTTGACTTCTAGTTGATCATTCGGTATCAGAAGTGGCTTATATGAAAGGCAAAGGCCTCTAGATTACGCTTATATTACCAAAATAAAATATGATCATGCCTTGATTTTAAATTTTTTAATTAGGACAGTAAAGTCTGACTTTACTTAGACAAAAGTCTTGTCACTTAACAGAAATAATGTAGAGTATAAAATACAGTCATGGTGCAGTGGATAAAGAATTAATATTGTGTATGACTCCCATGAGCTTGGAGGACTGCATCCATACATCTCTGCAATGACTCAAATAACTTATTAATAAAGTCATCTGGAATGGCAAAGAAAGAGTACTTGCAGGACTCTCAGAGTTCATCAAGATTCTTTGGATGCTTCTTCAATGCCTCCTCCTTCATCTTACTCCAGACATGCTCAATAATATTTATGTCTGGTGACTGGGCTGGCCAATGCTGGAGCACCTTGACCTTCTTTGCTTTCAGGAACTTTGACATGGAGGCTGAAGTAAGAGAAGTAGCGCTATCCTGCTGAACAATTTGCCCTCTCCTGTGGTTTGTAATGTAATGGGCGGAACAAACGTCTTGATATCTCAGGCTGTTGATGTTGCCATCCACTCTGCAGATCTCTCGCACATCCCTATGCTGAATGTAACCCCAAACCATCATGTTTCCATCACCAAACTTGACTGATTTCTCTAAAAATTTTGGGTCCTTGTGGGTTCCAATAGCTCTTCTTCAGGATTTGATGATTGGGATGCAGTTCAACAGATGATTCAACAGAAGAAAAAAAAAAAAAAATCGACCTTCTGCTACTTTTCCAAATGATCTATTAGTAATTATTTGTTGCTCTTACAACTGCGATCGGCAACAAGACTTTTGTCAGGTAGTGTTTATTCCTTTTCTAATGTCTAATGTGAATTTATGATTTATTATACAGATTTTTGTATGAATTCTTAGTTTAAGATACACAAATAGAAAAAAAAATGTGCACTAAAAAGAGTATATATATATATATATATATATATATATATATATATATATATATATATATATATATATATATATATATAATTTAAAAAAACTATTAGATATAACAACAATTATTTATTATTGTTGTCATTAATTATGATACAATAGAAACTATAACCATTTTCAAATATTTTGGGGATGCCCCAATATTAGAAGTTTTTTGGAAAGATGGATATGCAAGGATATGCAAAGTGATATGTTGTTCTGTTGTTTTCATGAATACATATTTTGTTTCCTCTTTTATCTCCGATAAGGTTGATCTTTTTAACAGGTTCAAACAGGTTCAAAAACTTTGGACAATATAAAACTTAAAATACTTTAAAACAAAATATCTAAAACCCTAAAATACACAATAAAAGCTGCTTAATAATATTAATTATATAACAGTTATTAATATAAAATAATATTATAAATGTATCAAATAAATAATATATAATAATAATGCTAAATTATTATCATTAATAATAATAATAATAATAATAATAATAATAATAATAATAATAATCAATAATATAAACTAATATAAATGTATAAAATAAAAATATAATAACAATAATCCTGAATTAATAATAATAATAATAATAATAATAATAATAATATAAACTAATACCAAAAAATAAAATAAATAATATATAATTATAATGTTGAAATAATAATAATGATAATAATAATAATAATAATAATAATAATAATCAATAACATAAACTAATATATATGTAAAAAATAAATAGTATATTATAATAATAATAATAATAAATTATTATTATTAATAATAATATAAACTAATAACTAATAGATAAAATAAATAATATATTAAATAATGCTGAATTGATAATAATATGAACTAATAACAAATGTATAAAATAAATATTATATAATAAGAATCATGAATTATTAATACTGTTATTAATAATAATATAAAATATTAATATAATGTATTAAATAATTAATATATAACAATAATTCCGAATTATTATTACTACTACTACTACTAATAATAATATTAACAATAATAAATAATAAATACTAATATAATATATAAAATAAATAATACATTATAATCCTGAATTACAACGACTACTATTACTACTACTACTATTACTAATAATAACAATAATAGTATAAACGTATAATAATAATAATAATAATCAATACTATAAACTGATAAATACAAATGTATAAAATAAACCATATATAACAATAATGCTGAACTAATAATAATAATAACAACAATATAAACTAAAAAATATATATGTATAAAATAAACTATATATACACACACGCAAGCATGCACGCACGCACACACGCACACGCACACACACACAAACATACACACATATATATATATATATATATATATATATATATATATATATATATATATATATATATATATATATATATATATATATATATATATAATGCTGAATTAATAATAATAATAATAATCATCATCCTCCTCAACATCATCATAATCATAATATTTTGTTGTTTTTCTATATTGTACATGTTCAAAAGCTATAAAACAAGTCAAAAAGACAAGAATAACATTACTCATTATTTTTTGTAAAAAAAAAATAATAATAAAAAGTGAAAAAATAAAAAGTAAAGCGCTCATCATACCTGCAGGCATGATGCGATGCATGGCCACAGACAGGAAAAAGATGGCATCGCTATAATATGCACCCGAACCAGCACTAAAGTGCTTCTGCATGGCCTCTACAATCGGGAACAATTTCTCCGTAAGAGTATCAACATTGTGAAACACGACCTGTAACAAACAACAGACAACATCAGTGTTACTTAAGGATGTTTATGTGACCCTACTGACATAATAAAGAGAATTGAGATGTTTTTCTACTCTTCACTGAGGGTTCTGGCACTGAGGTTTTATTCTCAGGTGCTCACGGTTTAACTCACTGAACCCTGACAGTCGTCTTTTACTTTTCCTTCCACTGAAAAACACACAATACCTCCGCTTGTCCACAGCAATCACCCACTAATCCTGCTCTGCAATGCTAGGCGTTTGGCAAGGACTCAACACATGCAATCAGATAATGTGCATCTCTCGCTAGGGTGCACAAAGAGGATTGAGGAGGCTGCCGTTCAGTCAACACTGATTTCACATTAAGGTTTTGTTTCCAGAAAGTAATATAAGTTTCTGCCATAGGATTAGCATTAGTCTGATGGCACCAATTCAGCACAAGATCAGATTTAAATGTCCTGTGAATTTAAAATAAGGTTTGTTACATGTTAGTATGTTAGATTTAAGGATATGTAACCTATTGTGCTCCAAAACAGTGACAAAATACACATTTAGAAGAAACAAAACTGATATAAACATGTAAAACATGCTGAAATGGATCAACGATTTCTTTCAGGTCACTTCATACTTCAGTTTCTCTTCAAATCTTGACCAATCAAATATATTATATATTTATATATATAATATTTATATAGCGTATTTTATTGTGTATAGCCATACAACCAAAGCACCTCACAATCTTGAGAGGGGTCTCTCCACACCACCACCAGTGTGCAGCATCCACCTGCATGATGCGACGGCAGCCACAGGACAACGGCGCCAGCGCGTTCACCACACACCAGCTATTGGTGGAGTGAAGAGACAGTGATAGAGCCAATTGGGTGGATGGGCTGATTGGGAGGCCATCATACGGGCCAATTAAGGGACTTTGGCTAGGACACCGGGGTTACACCCCTGCTCTTCACGAGAAGTGCCATGGGATTTTTAATGACCACAGAGAGTTAGGACCTCGGTTTAACGTCTCATCCGAAAGAAGGCACCCACTGACAGTATAGTGTCCCTTTCACGTCTACCGAGGCATTAGGATTAACACAGACCACAAGTTGAGCACCCCCTGCTGGCCTCTCTACCATCACTTCCAACAGTAACCTAGTTTTTCCCATGTGGTCTCGCATTCAGGTAGTGACCAGGCTAAGCCCTGCTTAGCTTAGGCCCTGTTTACACTAGTGCGTTTTAGTTTTAAAAGAGCGTTTTAGAATGAAAGCGATCCGCGTCCACACTAACGTTTTACCCAGCGTTTCTGAACTGCTCTCCGTCCACACCAAAACGCTGAAAACGCACATCACGTGACCACACACACACTCTCGGGCAAGCGCTGCAGCCCATCTATCCAATAATCTATTACTTGTTCTCAGGTAACGTGTTTTGGCTGAGCGCAAAGACGAGTTAATAGTTAATGTACCTACATACATTCTGTATATTGACTGATCGCTTGCCTTTATTTCCTATATCGTATAAACTTATTGTGCGTTCTACTTTCATAATGGCTATTATTGTTTAATAAAACTGACATTCAGCAAAGCAGAGGATACGTTTTGTATTGTCAGTGAAAATGAAAGGAGGCAGTGATGTTATATAGGCTCTGTTTTATTATAAATATGCATACAGTGAAGATGCAGCACGACACCTCAGCATTTCTGCTGTCTGTTAAGTTGTTAATATCAAAATGAAAATAGGCAAGTTCTTAAATCATGTTTTCATTTTATTGTTGAGAAAGTGAAACAATGTAGTAAGGATGATATGAATAAGGTTATAAAGTACACTGCTCCCTTTGAAGATTTACCGGACATGTCTTCGAGATTCTGTTTTCCATATCAAACTTGAGTAGTCTGAACTTACTGGGAGAGGATGCGTGACTGAACTGTGTATAGGCTATTTAATATTGAGGAAAAGCCCCAATCAAATAGGCGAATGTCGGCAGCCCCGCATCCGTTTTCAGATGTCTCCATTTTCCACCATCCACACTGAGACGGAGCAGCAGCGTTTTAGAATGAAAACGGCCTCTCCAGTGTTTCCGAAACGCTCCGTTTTCGGCACTCGAAAACTCAGCGTAGTGTGGACGGATGGCGTAAAAGTAGCAAAACTTATGCGTTTAAAAACGAAAATGCGGAAAAAAAGTGTAAACGGGGCCTTAGTGAGTAACGGGCCTAGGGCTTCAGGGTGATATGGCTGTGATACATGGTGTAGTATCTGACATGCCCCGCACCCTTCCAGATGCTTCTCATTTAATGCACTTGTGCTCAACTTTTATAGAGAGACGACTGCGCTGGCTGATTGTATCCCTGATCATAATACTATATAGTTTGTATACGTCATTTTACACAAACTATACAATGAGAATGAAGCGCAGCTGCGGCTGGAAAACAATGTTTTAAAACACATTGCAAATGGCAAAGGTGCATCGCAAGCCTAATTTAGCTAAACAGCAACATGGTCATCTTCCGGAAATATTACCAATGATCTCCCCCCCCCCCCCTCTCTCTCTCTCTCTGTTGGTACAGCGCTGTCAACAAATATTTTTCCTCCACACCCTATGAGATGGGACAGCACATCAGACTACAGCAGCTGGATTAGTCCAAAAAGGCGCAGTATTTTTTGCGGTTGGGTCTGTTTAAGTTTGGATCATGTTCTCACCATAAACGAACGGCTCCAGGGTGCATTTGAAAGAGTATCGAGACCACCTCTTCAAGGAGGTCTCGGTATGCTTTTTGGTCCGCTTTTGGTGCGCACTCGAGTGCAATTGCTACATTCCAACCTGCCCAAAAGAACCGCACCAAGAGAAAGAATGAACTCTAGTGTGATTCAACCGAACTAAATAAACCAGGTGTGAAAACACCCTGACACTTTTACTTGGGTATCATTTTTAGTACTCTTTCCAAAACTAGATGTAGATCATGAAGTAAATTTTGTTTGAATTACAGTACAAAATCTTGTCAAATGTGTCATGCAGTTGAAAGCTGAAGCATGTTTCTTCACAGAGACTTGTGTTGTTTCTCATTTCAATGCTCTTCAATCCCTACACAGGATGGGAGAAATCAAATTCTACATCTAAAGGCTCTTTCAGAGTGAGCATGATTAAATGGCATGAATGCAATGACGCTCTTGAATCAAAACAATAAATCTCTATTTACAATGGGCACCATCAGTCATGGCACAGTTGTTTTTTTATTCCACTAGTCTGCAATGAAATGGCCCTGCTAATGAGTTTTGAGCTTTAAATCAAGTGGCAATCGTCAATGTACAGGCCAATAAATATACAGTTAAAGACAGAATTATTAGCCCTCCTGAATTATTTCTGTTTAACGGAGAGCAGATTTTTTTTTCGACTGTTGTAAACATAATATATTAATAACTCATCTCTAACAACCGATTTATTTTATCTTTTCAAGATATTCAGCTTAAAGTGCCATTTAAAGACTTAACTAGGGTAATTAGGCAAGTTATGGTGATTAGGCAATACATTGCATAACGATAGTTTGTTCTGTAGACAATCGAAAAAAATAAATTGCTTAAGGCGGCTAATAATACTGACCTTAAAATAGTTTTAAAAATTTAAAAACTGCTTTTGTTCTAGCTGAATTTAATCAAATAAGACTTTTTTCCAGAAGAAAAAATATTATAGAAAATAGAGCCTAAATTGACATTTAAAGGCTGAACTAGGTTAAATAGGTTGGTTAGGGTAATTAGGCAAGTTATTGTATAACGATGGATTGTTTTGTAGACTATCAAAAAATATATAGCCTAAAGGGGCTAATAATTTTGTCCTTAAAATGGTGTTTAAAAAACTTTCTCCAGAAGAAAAAATATTATCAGACATACTGTAAAAATGTCCTTGCTCTGATGAACATCATTTAGCAAATAATTAAAAAAATAAAAAAAATCTACTGGGGGCTAATAATTCGGACACACTCACACTCGCTCACACTCGCACGCATGCACAGTCAATGGGTCTTAGCAATCTTTCAAATTATCTTCTTTTGGTGCGGGGGGGTTTAGGGGGTTAGAAAGGTTTTGAAAAAGTAAAGATAAAGTGAAGGCAGGATTTGTATGTTTTGGGTGAACCATACCTTTAAATGTATCAAAAGGATCACTAATATTTACCTTCATCAGAAATTGACTTGAAAATGATTCATGAAGTGAACTTTTAAGTAATTATAAAGTTATTATGAATTATAAAGCATATTCAGTCGTCATCACATCCATTAATTTGAATTTTGAAATATAATTAAATAAAAATCCAATATTTTAATATCTCCTAATATTACAAGTTTACTTTATTTTTATGATCAAATTAATGTAGCCTCTGTGAATGCAGAAACTTCTGTCAAAATATATATATTTTTAAATCTTTCAAAGTATAGTTTACCTCAAAACACAATGCAAGCTGCCTTTTAAAAGGCATTTGCAGAATGCAAAAATGTAAATTATAAAAATACCATTGTATTCTCGCTGCAGGAACATATTTCATCAAAACTACAGCTAAAAATCTGCTCCAAAAATACCAAATTGGTAGCAGCCCGTTTAATATTTCATCACAGTTTATTTGTGATATCGCCCTGAATTTTTTATAAGCAAAGTGCTTTAAAGCCGCTAGTGAATAATGCAGAGGCAATCAGAAAACACAGAGAAACAAAACTCTCACTTTGCTCACAAGTACTTCAAAGAGAACAAAACACTCATTGGGGTTTTGATAACACCATCATTTTCCATTCATAGGAACTAATAATTAGGAACAGAAACTACACCAGAAAGCACTGGCTTCATTTTCATATAGACATCAGCCATCTCTTCCGGGAGTTCACAGGGCTTTTCAGTGTAATCTCTACATAGAGTGCTGTGGAATAATGACTGTGGCATTATTAAATTAAAGGCTTCTGACAGTATTATTGTCCATGGGGACTGCTGGTCATTTTATGTGCTCTTGCCTTTCCAATGAGTTCTGGAAG